CCACAGCCACTTATTAAGGTTGAGCTCGAACCACAAATTAAGCCCCTAAAGATATACGAAGTGCACCCAATATACAATCTTCAGTTCCTGCTGAACCGTAGAATTACAGTTGAGGAACCGCAAAAACGCAATGGCCCGGTACGATGTGCGAACTGCCAAGAAAATGGCCATACAAGGTCTTACTGTAAACTGCGCCCGGTGTGTTTAGTTTGTGGTGAGCTTCATGACTCCGCTCACTGCCCAGCGAGCAAAGATGACCACAACTCAAAAAAGTGCGGCAACTGCGGTGGAAATCACACTAACTATAGAGGTTGCCCAGTTTATAAGGAGCTGAAAAGTCGCATCCACCAGAGGGGATTTACTGCCCGCACCCAAAATAATCAGTTCATAGTTCATCAGCTCCTGGTCAAACCCTGAAGTCTTTTTCTCGACTGCAGCCAGGTCCTCACTAGGACCCATAAACTCTGCCAAAATTGTCACATACGCAAGCGTTTTAAAATCAGGACTGGCTACCCCAGCCTCCAAGAACCGAACACGGCTCAGCAGCATCAACCGCCAGAGCAGCCAAAAAGTAACTTTGAAGCTATGATATGCAGTCTACAACAAAGCCTTACGAAGTTTATGTCGTTCATGCGTACAACTATGCAAGATCTAATGCGAAACCAAAATCTACTAATACTAATGCTGGTTTCATAACAATCCAAATAATGACTTCCTACGAATATTTACGTGGAACGCTAACGGTGTTTCGCAGCATAAACACGAGTTAGCGCAATTCCTATTAAACAATCAAATCAACGTAATGCTGCTTTCAGAAACACATCTTACAAACAGATACAATTTCCAACTACGAGGATATTTATTCTATGGAACAAATCATCCAGATGGTAAAGCACACGGCGGGACTGGAATTTTAATCAGAAGCCGTATTAAGCACCATTATCATACGAAATTTGCTAAAAACTACCTACAGGCCACATCAATAAATATAAACCTAAATACTGGCAAATAATTAACTTTAGCCGCCGTATACTACCCCCCACGTTTCAACATAGCCGAAGATGAGTTTATGCAGTTTATTTCCAAAAGGAAAGCAGCTCTATAATGCAATTATCAAAGCTAATAACAAGCTAGACTACGTTTCTTCTGGCACACCAACATACTGGCCGGCAGACCCAAAGAAACTTCCCGATTTAATAGACATTGCGATTACCAAAAACATTCCTAAAAATCTGATAAGCCCTAATGCCTTTCGGATATTTCATCTGATCACTCGCCTGTTCTTTTTACTCTACTCCGAAACTCAGGAACATGGGATCACTCATCTAAACTGACCTCACATAAAACCGATTTGGTTAAGTACAGGAAGTATATCAGCTCGAAGCCAACGTAGACAGTTTTTTTAATTCACTGGAGTCTGTACTCGACTCTGCAGCTCGAGTTTCAACACCTCAAACTATAAACACACAATGCATTCAAAAGAAGAGAAATATACAAATCGAACAGCTCGTCCTCGAAAAGCGACGCTTACGTCGAGAATGGCAATGTCACAGATCGCCATTTGCTAAGCAACGCTTCAAACATGCCTCACGTCAACTTGATCAAGCTCTACAGCAAGAAGAAACGTATGTCCACCGCCGCTACATAGAGCAATTGCCAACTAACAGTACAAAACACTTACTATGGAGAGCTCATCCAACTCTGAGCTCACCGAAAGAAACCGTGATACCTCTTAGAAATTCCACAGGCGGGTGGGCACGCAGCGACGCAGACAGAGCCAGCACGTTTGCCAAACACCTTAAAAATGTCTTCCAACCAAATCCTGCCACCAATGCGTTTACTTTGCCGACTCTATCATATAAGCCCCAGCCTCAACATGAGCCAATTGAGTTTCGCCCAAATCGTTAACATCATCAAAAGACAACTGAATCCGAAAAAATCCCCGGGCTGCGACCTCATAACTGCCAAAATGATCATTGAGCTCCCATACTGCGCCGTTTGCACTCTCACCCAGCTCTTTAATGCCATCTCAAAACTTGGCCACTTTCCAGTGCGATGGAAAAAGTCAATTATTATAATGATAGCAAAGCCGGGGAAAGACCACACTATCCCCACGTCGTATAGACCTATAAGCCTACTCTCTTGCCTATCTGAACTCTTTGAAAAATGCCTAATGACTCGGATAAACACATACCTGAGAATCCAGGAAGGAATCCCGTCACACCAATTTGGGTTTCGTGAAAAGCATGGAATAATTGAGCAGGTCAACCGGATAACATCAGAAATTCGTAACGCGTTCGAAAAACGAGAGTACTGTACTGCCATATTTTTAGATGTCTCTCAAGCATTTGATAGAGCCTTCTAGGCTAGAAGGCCTAATGTACAATGCTTCCCTACAGCACCCACAATATTTTAGAGTCTTACCTTTACAACAAAAAATTTGTCGTGAGGTACAATACTGCTATATCTGATGATTACACTATTGGAGCTGGAGTTCCTCAAGGTTGCGTGCTAGGGCCAATATTATATGTCCTCTACACAGCAGACATCTCGACAAGCACACGTCTAAACACATCCACGTTTGCCAATGACACAGCTATTCTTAGCCGCTCAAAATGCCCGATTCAAGAAACTGCGCAGCTAGCTCTTCAAATGGTCGATGTTGAAAAATGGCTGTTAGATTGGTGAATTAAAGTGAACGAACTAAAATGCAATCACGTTACGTTCACTCTGAACAGGCAAAACTGCCCGCCAAGCAAACGAAGTAACATACCTAGGAGTACATCTCGACAGAAGAGTCACGGCACGGCGCCGGCACATTGAAGCCAAAAGAACACACCTTAAGCTAAAAGCCAGCAGCCTTTATTGGCTTATCAACGCTTGGTCACCTCTTAGCCTTGAATATGAAGTCCAGCTGCACAACTCGGTCCTAAAACCTATATGGATGTACACCTCCCAGTTATGGGGGAACGCCAGCAATAGCAACATTGACATAGTTTAAAGAGTTCAGTCGAAGATCTTGAGATCAATCACCGGGGCAACGAAAACATACACCGAGACTTAAACATTCTACCAGTCAAAGAAGTGATCGCTGAACAGAAGGTAAAGTACTTAACCAAGCTATCGGTGCACCCTAACCACCTGGCGAGAGGTCTAACAAGATTGAGCAACCAATCACGCCTTCGTCACAATGACTTAACCACCCAGCCAGAATGCAGTCTTAGTATACTGTTAGTTAAATTTTAATGTTAAGATTCGCCAACTTATTGTTAGTCTCAAAATTAAGAGTACATTCAATATATAAAAGCAACGCTATAAAAAAAATAAAAAAAAAGATCATGAAACTTGCCGTGTGAGCATGGCGCAGTTACGTGAATCACAATCGAAAGAGGCGAATGAACTTAAACAAATAAAACTGCATCGAAGAGAAGCGCTCAGATCCATTCCATGTTGAATATTCTCCTTATTCCAAATTGTTTACACAGTGCGCCAAAAAAAATAAAATTGGAGGAACTTTTAAAAAGACGTAGTAGGAATTGTTTATTAGGACTTTTTTTAAATATTTACTTTTTGCTCCGAAAAATTCCTTAACGCATAATTTTAAGCGGATTTTAAAATTTCCGACATTTTTCAATAGTTAAATGTTGTAGCTTTTGAAAAAAAGATGTGCCTTACATTTTTTTGAACAAAAAGGATACAATTTTTACACAATAAACTGAATTGTTGAATTTTGAATTGTTTTAGGAAAAAATTATTTTACTGATTGACTTGTTGTAGGAAAAGCCTTATAACTTCAAAAATTTTCATACTTTTTTAATAAAATTAGTCTCGTTTTATTCAGGATAATGAGACAATATTGATTTGTGTCCATTTCTTGTACGTTATACCGAATAAATGGCGTCAAAGTTCGAAAAACACAACAAAAATTAAAAAATGTCAGTTTTTTGAGTAAAAATTGTATCCTTTTTGTTTTAGTTAATTAAAGATATGTTTTTTTCAAATGCTACAACATTTAACTATTGAAAAACGTCGGATATTTTAAAATCCGCTTAAAATTATGCGTTAAGGAATATTTCAGAGCAAAAAAGTCACGGTTTTGTACCGTGTAAATAAATAAACAATTCCTACTTTGTTTTTTCAAAAGTTCCAAATCACTGTCGCACTGTGGTATTGGTACTTTGGAAAAAGAATGCTTGTATTGTCATGGACTTATATTTAAAAATGATCCAGTTGGGATGTGTTGCTCATCAGGAAAAGTACAACTAACCGAAATAAAAACACCACCTGAACCATTGAGCGGCATACTTCTCGGTACAGAACCAGATTCTACCATGTTTCTTGAAATTAATTTGTACATTCAATTCATAATTCGTACGTTTTTACCCATCACAGATGAATCTTGAACTACAGTACGATAGTGTAGAAATGACAGCCATTGTTAGTCGCAATGTTCCACTACTTAATGACGAACAAAAAATGATCTATGACCGCATTATGTTCGCAGATGCGGCAAGACAAGGAGGAATGCACTATGGCACGTAAACATTCGCTTGTGGCATTGAATTGAACATTTAAGGATATAAAAAACAATAATAAACTATTTGGCGGCTCTTTGTAACTTCTTTCAGTTTATTTCAGACAAACTTTTCCCGTTATTCCACGTTTAACGTACGCTAATTAAATTAATGCTTGCTTAAAATCATCGCGACTGTGGCGTTATGTTGAAAAAGTACAACTGTCGAAGAATGTTCGCGTTCAAAACAAAGTTTTTCGGGGTTTCTAGTATACTACATATATACTTATTTATCGACATTTATACAAAACACCTTTGTCAAGTACCAACTGATTATTTAACATCCGCGACTCATTAATAAAAATACTCTGTTTTGGGAGCATGCGTTGTGAATATGGACCGAAAAAGACACAATTTAAGCTTACATTTGTATTGTATGCTGTGAAAATTAAAAAAAAAAAATAATTAATTTAAAGATAAGACAAACCTTGTTTGAAGATTAGATGGTTGGCTACACATGTTTTCATCCTCAAGTAAATTAAAATCGCATAGCTTTCCAAAACAATTGCCATTTGTAGCACAGAATTTATCGTCGCAGTTATCTATAATTGGTAGTATGGCTGTTTTTTTTGCGGGGACGATATGAAAAGACTTTTCCAGACTTTTCCAGTTTTCTAGATTTTCTCCATTTGTTCTTATTTGTTGGTGACTTCGTAATTCGCTTTCTTTCTCTTTTGGTGTCAATGATAGTTGCCGCTTGACAGATAATTCCTGAATGCGAGATAGAGGTGGTAAACTTGTTAATCCACTGCCCCCTTCGGAGCTGCTCACTTTCTCTAAACTATCTGCGATATAATCCCCATTTCTCTGGCTTGGCTTATATGGTACTTCTGAGCCATATAAGCCACGTATTCGGAGGTGCTGCGCACAACGCAGCAATTGACCCAAGCCGGCCTGTGTGACGTTGACTTCTCCTTTATACATGAAATCTACTAGAGCCTGAATTTCCCAAAGTTGTACCTCTCTAGGCAGAATGATAACGGGATGTTTGCATGGATTCTCTGCTAATATGGTTTCAAAATAACTGGAACATGCGGCCAAGACTAAACGATGGCAACGTAATTGGTGACCATCACAAACTAAAGTGACATCAACAAACCTCTGAATGGCTAGGAGCTGAGGAAACACAGCTCCTATGCTTCCCAAATGTGTGTTCCAGCGTACGCAAAACTCTTGTGTGGTAGTCATCGTATTTTAAGAGGTTCAGCATTAAAGGAATTTTTATGTTTTTTGGTGACTCTGAAATAAATATTAAATTAATTAAAAACTTAGTTATAAAAAATTAAGAAAAATAGAAATGGAAAAGGTATGGATCTATACACTCCAAGCACGGTGTAAATAAGTCAAAAAGTCGGTGCTCTGTTTGATCTCAAAGTCCTTGATAGGAGGGAAGCCTCTTTTGTTGCCTTACAAATTGGTGGAATATCTAGCTCCTTATGGATGCATTACCATGCGGAAATGTCGAGTACTATACAGTTTTATGCAGCTCTTTAGTGAAAAATGAAGACGTCTTACTTTTTGGACTAGCTTTATTCAAAGCCCAATACACGAGGCGAAAATGAGGCGTTTGTTGTGAGTTCCAGGTGGATATGTCCCGTGACCCATGAAACAACAGATCGGGATGGCACTACCTTCGGAGAGTCGAAGTAAAATCGGCATATTTTTCCAAACATGGGGCTTATTGAAATCAAATCAAAACCAAATGGGGCTGCATGCCCAAATCTATTTTTAGATTTAATCAATGGCTTCAATCTGTGGCTTCATACACACCCAATCTTAACTCCAACACCCAAGCGGCTATTTTGGCGTGTCATTTATAAAGAGCGTATAAAAGGTGGCATTTACTACGCTGCCTTAAGGGACTTCCGCGAGGACTAACCTGTTTCTGGTTGCCTCTCCGTCTTGTAGAATGTCCGTTTTTTTTTTAATTTTGAACAAGTGTCCTTGATGGAATTCATTCATCAAATGAAAATTTAATAAATTCAATCATTTGCTCGTTGTCAAAAAATACATCCACTACATAATTATACCATGTACTCGTAAAGTACATAGGTATATTGTAGTCATGTAAATCTATGTAACATAAAGAAGAATCATCTCCGACCCCATAAACTATATTTATTCTTAATCAGCATCAACAGCCGAGTCGATATAGCCATGTCCGTCTGTCCGTAAAAACGCATGGATCTCAGATACTATAAGAAATAGAGCTATAGGATTTGACATGGAGACTTCTATAATACCCACGCAGTACCAGTTTGTTTGAAATTTTACGTGTGGATCTCGAAGATTATAAGAGATATAACTATCCGATTTGGAACTTGGAATCGTTTGTTATCCACGCAGATCAAGTTTGTGCCAACATTTTGACAAGCCCACTCCCGCCCTCATGGGGGAGTCTTGATGGAAATCTTGTTGTAGCGGTAGTTCAATAATGTTGTTGGGAAATGTTTTAACGCCAAAGTATTCCAGTGGGTAATCTGCACCTACGAACTACATCTACCTAAAGGAGTTACAGACTTTTTATTCTACTTCCCTACTGAATCGGTGGAAATGACATAAGGGTTAGTAGGGCGTTGGTTGTTTTTTTCCCAAGCTCAAATATGTGCAAAAATAAATATTTTACTGAGAATCAACATCTTTAAACTTCAAAGGTTAGTAAAAGTGTGGTTGAACGAGATGAGTACATAAAGTATAATAAAGGCGATGTTCAGACATTAGGTCGAACATAACAAATAAAAACTTAAACAATTTTAAAATATTTAAGATATTAAAATTCAAAAAGAAAATATATATACAGTCCACTACTCTTTGTTATCGAACAATTATAATAATTTTATAATACTGAAGAAATAGAATAAATAAATGTAATACGAAAACAAAAATACACATATACATAAATAAAATGTTAATCTAAAAACAACACACACCTTTTTGTGGCCCTTTCCAGAATGTTCAAGCATTGAACACCATTTTATATACAAATTTCAAAGATAGAGTTTCAAGGTATCGGACCCATGGAAGTATGAGATAAACAGCATGGTTTAAGGGGAGGGTAAGGTATTAAAAATTTTTTTTTTTAATTTTTTTTTTATTTTTTAAATTGAATGCATAATATTTGAAGAATATTGTGTCAAAATTTCAAGTCAATTAAAGAAAAATTGACGAAGTTATTAGTTATTGATGAAGTTGCTTGTAAACGTTTTACACTGGATTTGTTTTGTGTTTAAAACTTTTAAGCGTTTTTCCCACAACTCACGTTTTCAAAGTCGGTGCCCCTCATAACTTCAAAACTACTGCACCGATCCTTTTGAAATTTTAAACACTATTTTTGTACATATTTTACGAGGTAACGCTGTCGAGTTTTTTTTTTTGTTCATAATCTTGATTTCGCAATGACAAATTAACCGATTTTTTCCCAAAATATTGAGTTTTTCACTTCAAAGTCTTCAAATAAATTAAAAAATTGCAATTTTCAAAAAACCTTTACAGCGTTACCTGGGGCGAACTATTATCTAACGAATGAATTTTCATTTTTTGATTACAAATGATCCAGCACCGAGTTATGAGGGGCACCGCAATTCAACTTTTTTGGCGACACGTCCGGACAATTGCTACCATTGCCATATTTTTAAATATTTTTTGTAAAAATTTGATAAAACATTCTTCTAATGTCATACTTTAATATACCGTTGGTTGAATAATTAAATTTTAACTGTGTCGTCAGGAAAAAAATTACAAAAACATGGCTTTTTTCGCATGATTTGACCTTACCCTCCCCTTAAAACCGATCCCCTGCAGCCTAACATAAAAAACACGAACATAAGCATCGTAAATAACAAACATAAGCGCATCCGCTTGTCACACTTGAGAAAGGGTCGCATAGCATGTCAACGTGCAGTGCGTTGATAAGTAGTTTTTAATAGTTTTAAGATTTTCATGTATCTTATTTATAAGAGAACTTTACCAAATAAAATCAGTTTTGAAACGGAACTCATTGGAGTACGACCTTTATTTTGGGGCTCCTCTTAACATTTGGTCCATCGAGACACCCTGACGTTTTCCCCCCTGTGGTAAGAGACTCAGGTTTAAAACTGGCACCTATAAGTGGCTGAAGAAAAATAATAATTCTCAGCCCAAGGTAGCTTAAAAATAAAGGCTGCGACCTGGGTAAAAAAGAACCCAGTTTAAAAACCGTAGTCCCCTGTTGTTTCCCCCCAAGAGGTAAGGAACACAGGGTATAAAATAATATAAATGCCAATGAGCATTAAACAAGAGAAAGAGAAAAATATTTTCCTTTCTACAAGTGTGTTTTTATTTCGGAACAATACCGAGATAAAAAATTATATGCAAATCAACGAAAAAGTATTTGTGTATAAGCGTAACCGAGGCTTTACATCGGAAAAATTAAAAAATATGTATATTTGTGTTAGCGTATCCGAGGCCCTACATCGGAGAAGTTAAAAGTTAAAAAAAAAAAAGTGATTGTGAGCGACAAAAAATAATTAAATAAAATAAAACCCCAAAAAAAACCCCAAGCAACATCCGCCAAAATAATAACAACAAACATACACCAAAAATAAACAAACCAACACCAACAACCGTTAAAGTTAAAAAGTTAAAAAAAAAAAAACATCCACAAAAATTAAATTAAAAAAAGAAAAAAACGTCCACAAAAAACATACAAAAACAATAGTAACACCACAATAGTAACGGCGACATCGAGAACGGCAACAACATCACGAGCAGCAGCGGCAACAACATCACGAGCAGCAGCGGCAACAGCAACAACATCAGCAGCAATAATTAGAAATTAGTCCTCGGCAAGTTTCGTTTTTATTTTTATATATAAACGCTTGAATTTAGTTTTTGAACTTTATTTAATTTAAAATAATATATAATGTCGGCTAAGGATAAAATTCCAATTACGGAAGACCAGGTGCGCCTCACCCGGCAAATAGATGCGCTTCTCGCAAAAAATTCATATTCAGAAGAGGATAGGGAGGCATTAAAAAATTTGGAACAAAAAGCCTTTACGAACCATAATCATTTGGTTCAACTCGGTCCTGTAGAGCATGACTATTTCTTAAAAAATCACTTCGAAAGCATGCTATCAAATATTAAGTCCGACAGCAACAAAATTAAAAAATATATTGGCCAGGATGAGCTTTTTTTGAGGCTTGAGGGGGCTATAAAGAACCTCGAGGATTACCTCGAGATAACTTATGTTAAGATTCAGGAAAGGAAAAATTAAACCTTTCCTATAAGAATTAAAAAATTAAGAATTTTTCTTAGTAAAATCGATACAGTGTCCGATTTACTAAATATTGAAGGGCTCAATAATAAATATATGAGCAAAATTATAGAGCTCAAAGAGGATGTTGAAATACACATCGAGCTGATGGATAATAAAATCCAAGAGAAAACTCCTAACAAGGTAGAAGGTGGTTGTCCTAGAATGGACGAACTACCTAGCCTACCAAAAATTGAGGTTCCCAATTTTTCTGGAAATTCCAAAGATTGGGACCATTTTTATGAGTTATTTAAGGAGCTAGTTCATTCAAGGATGGATTAAAGTCCATCCTTGAAGCTAAGCTACCTTAAAAGTGCTCTAAAAGGGGAAGCACGAAATGTGGTTTCCCATTTATTGCTTGGCTCAGGCAACAATTACGATGCTGCCTGGGAATTACTGATTAAGCGATATGAGAATAATAGGAAAATATTCTCAGATCAGCTTAATCGCCTCATTGAGCTTCCAAAAATAAATTTGGACTCATATAGGCACCTTAAAAATATAATTGATTCAATCAATCTGACCGAAGAATCAGATTGCATTTTTGCACATATTATTTTAAAAAAATTAAGTATTGAGGCTCTACAACAGTATGAGGGCCAAGTAAAAAAATCGAGGGAAATCCAAAATTTAAAGGATGTCTCAGACTTTTTAGACCAGAGGTCGGCACGGCCCTATCTCGGGGGCATAGGAAATTTCTCTGCCCGAGCTCTGCCACACACACACAGTATAAATGTGTGAAACGTCATGCTCAAAGCCTACTTTCTGCTATTCGTTACTAACAATAATGCGGTAAAATCATATCAATGTATTGGGGTACCGACCTCTGTTTTAGACCAACGGCTTAGTTCGTTGAAATCAGTGGGAAATGAGTTCCCAACAAAAAAAATAATAAAAAATAATAACCCAACTAAAACAACATGCCCGATGTGCAATTTGCC